GCTTTTATCAGTGAAAAGTAGTTTGCAATCCCAACAAATCTGGACAGCTAGAATATTTAAAAGCTCATTCTTTTCCTGTTCATCCCTATCCATCTGGTTACCTCCACCTCCATGTCCCTTCTGAAGTCTCCACCTTCATGTCCCTATTCACCACAACCCATTCTCTTGTTTTTTTATATAAATTTTTATTACTTTTTAATTAATAACAAAAAAGAAAAACAAAACACAAAGCACAAAAATAATAATAGACTATCAAGAAGAAGAAGAAGAAACATTAAAAAGTTTTATTACAACCTATCCTCTTGTAATGATTGAAGACAGTATATAAGTAAAGGCTTGCATGCATAAATAGATACATAATCATGAAAAAAAATTCAACTAGTTTGAATGAGACAAATTTTTGCAGATGTTAAATCTGACCACCTGCCCCATAATCATCTTGACTATTTCCTGCAGAGTTGCATGCATACCCAAGCCACATAAATACCAGTATTCAGATAATTCATAACAGGAAGGAAATGAAGAACATTGTTGGGGTTCTGTCTGACATGTGGTTTTGTTCTTGCTGAGAGAGAGCAAGTCTCATTCTTGATGTTTATGAAGTAAAATGTTACTGCTTAGGTAAAGATGGAATATCAAGGAAACTGTCGCTATAATAGACATGCTCACTAAATCTGTGTAATATTTGGTTGAGATGTCCAAGATACAAAATATAGATATGAGAGCATAAAATATTTCCATTACTTTTACATAGTATAGAACCACATTTTAATTCCTGTTGACTATGTAAATAATTACATTTTTCTTCATGGATTCTGAGGTTCTTCATGAAAACAATGGTTAACAGGAGAGAGAGAAAGGAATAATGGTATGTGAATCCCAAACTTGCATTGGGTACCAAAGCAGCATTTAAAATGTCAGTCCCTGTGTTGGAGCATAGCTAACTCTGGGGATTTTTTAAATACATGCTTAGCTCAGAATTCTGCAAAGAAGAATTTAGAGCTAAATTAGAAATGGTTCTTATCAACCTAGCTCTATCAAGAATAGGACACAACTTACAAGAGTCTTCTTATAACATTATTCTGATTACCAATAGCACTACAAGTCTATCTTAGCAAGCAAGCAAGCAAGCAAGCAAATAAATAAATAAATTCTAAACTCATGTATTTACCCACTATTACTCAAACTAAGAATTAATTTACCAAATATATAGGTGGCCATTTAAACAGGCTGTTTTCAGATAGGAAGAGAAGCATACACATGCAAGCATTGCAACCACCATGATAGACTTCTGTCCTTTCACTTTCATTTTTCCTTTTTAGGACACTGTCAGTAGAAGGACTCTTATTTCTTCCTGGTTCTTTTTCAGCCAAGTACAAACTCTTGACTTAGTGGGAAAACATGTTAGGGACTTATAACTCTAAACTCCTCACTTCAACTTTCCTGGTAAACCTTTGTTGTTATCCCTGTTCCCTCATTCAGTGAGTTTACTTGCTGGGACCTGGTTTGCCTTATATTCCTTTTGCAGTCTCTTCTTACTCACCAGGAAGCCTGGTGGTATAAAGGATTAATTTCTAAAGAGTGGGAGAGATTTTTAATGGAAAACAACAATATCAAGTTTCATACCAAAATACCACCATAATTAAATTCTAGAGCAGGATTTCCCAAATTGTGAGGTGTACCTCCTTTGGGGAGGCGCAGACAGAGTCCAGGGAAGGTGTGAAGAACCTTTTAGCTACATTGTTACAAGGGAGGTGTGATGGCAAAAATTTTTGGAAACCCTGTTCTAGAGCATCCTGAGACAGAAAAACAGGATGTTTTCAATGGAGGAAACTTTTGAGAAATCGGAGGACAAGTTTCAGAAAAATATGTAAAAATTATTGTTATGCAAAATGTACAAAAGCTTTTGTCAATATTAAGGAGGGAACACCTAAATTGGGTGTGATACACTTTCTCCTGAAACTAGAACAGCAATAATAATAATAATTTAATATTTAATAATTGGGTAGTTCTAAGGTTTGATGTTTTGAAAAATGCTCAGTTCGTTTATAAAGTAGTTTAAAACATTTAAAACTAATTTTGGGGATATGATAGAATTGCACAAACATTTACATGAATTAACTCACCTTTCCTATGGAATCTGTGTGGAGCACAATGCAGATTTCTGGTTTTGCTGTCGCACAAAAACAAAAACAAAAAACAAATGTTTCAATTAATCAGACAGGAACTAATTCAGCACAATGACCTATACAACAAACATTGGTTTATTTTATAGTTGAAAATATCAATCTGTGTTCATAATAATAGAACATAGATGAAATCCATATCTAAAGAGTATGTGATATCAGGATTTCTTTCAATAACTCAATATCCTGTCTGCTTAGTATACATTATACTAGCAAATATCAAAAATATCTGTGATCGGTCCACCCTGTGGTTTCCAGTTCTTATTGTATTATTGCCTTGAATGACTAGCCTCTTATTATTTATACTTTTACTAATATCATCCCTTTTCACCCCTATGGGTGCTATGTGTCTTCCTCAATCTCAGGTCCTCTACCAGAGGCTTGTGAGTTTGAGGGTTCTGCACAGTATTTTAGCTGTTCCTAGCACTGCACTCTTCTGCACAGAGAGCTCTGATGTTGTTCCTGGGATCTGTTGGAGCTGACCCTCTTTCCCTTTATGGCAGGAACAAGCAAGCATCTACACAAGTTATGATTCCTGCCTAAACTTACATTTGCACTTACTAGCTAATTAGCACATGCTTGTCAACATTATAAATGTTCTAATAACTTTCTAATAGCGTTTTGATAGTTGCTTGCATAGATCCTGACACCCATATAGTCTGTAGCTTGGCAGGTTTGATGACTGATAGGACTTTCCATGTTGTGGGGAGGCAGGTGATTGGTCAGTAGTTTGATGGTGCTATTCCCTTGTGTGTGTCTTTCATGATCAGCACTGTCCTTCCTTGTGTTAGACAGCCTGGGTGGGAGCCTGTTGCTAACAGCTGGTTCTTCTGTACTATTAGACGTTCATTCATTGCTGCTAGTTTCTTTAGTCAGTAGATATGGATCATGTCCAGCACTGATGCTGTCCAGCTCTTCCTGTTCTTGGCCCACTGATGGATCTCTGCTACTGTGATGGTGACTGGTTCCTGTTCTGGGATATTGCTGTGGTCTGCTCTCAGGTCTTATAGCCATTTTACACTGGTGTTATGTGTCTTCTCTTTCTCCCATATGTTCTTCCAGTACTGTTCAGTTTCTGCTGTTGGTGGCTCTGCTGTTACTGGGTTGTTGCACTGCAGTTGGGAGTACATTTTGGATGGATCTTTGGAGAACTGGGCATTTATCTTCTTTGCTTCTGCTTCTCTAATGTATCTCCTTAGCCTGGTAGACAGTGCTCTGAGCTTTTGTTTAGCAGTCTCTAGGGCTTCAGCTGGAGTCAGGCCCTTGTATTTTTTCAGTAGCTGAGACTTATCCTTAGTCTCTTCACTTTTCTGTAGTTCCATTAGCTGACTAACTTCTCTCTGAGTTGCCTTGATCTTAGCCTCCAACCTCATTTTCTGGAGGTGGGGGATATGTACTGCTGTTCTTGATCACGTAGCCAAGCATCTCCAGGATTACAGTGGCTGTAGTGTATACCCGTTCATTGGTTTGAATTATGGTAGTAGTAGGGTTTGCCATGAGGGCTCTATTGGCATCTTCTAGCATACTATCT